CCCTACACGCTCCTTTTTTCTGTTCCGAAGGAGGTGGCGGCCATTCTGTTTGTTGCTGCGCTTTCACCTTCTCCCGAAAGGACTTCACGAACCCCCATCTCTTCTTCTTCTTCACCGGCTGATTTTCGGCCGGCAAGCAGCCGCCGGTGGACTTCTTTCCACCTATGAGCCCAAGAAACCACCTTGCCGCTCTACCCATTTGTTAATCTGCTAACTCGCCCTTTGCGCTATAAAATCCATCCCAAACAAAGGGATAGGAATAGAACAAAGGCAAAAGAGAGCAGTTTATAGCGGGAAAGGGGATATGGCAATCTCTCTCTCTCTCTCTCTCTCTCTCTCTCTAACTCTTTCCTCTTACTTTCCAAACCAGTTTTAATCCAGAGGGACAAGTGAAGAAGGGAGGAAAGGGTTTAGTTTATAAGCTTACATGTGGGCTGTGCCGCCGGTGGCGGGCATATGGCAAAGGTGTTCTCATTCGAATGTACAACTCTACCCCTACTGGTAAGTGCTAATCACTGAGCCTGCCAAAAGTCAAAAGACGCAAAAACATATCTGCTCCTCCCCGACCAAAAAAAGCAAAAATTATAATTTCCAACTTTTGAAAAAAAAAAAAAAAAATATCAACGGTGATTGAAGGGTTAACTTGGGGTTAGTTAATAATATATAAAAAATTATAAATATAGATTAAAAATAATTTTAAATTCATTAATTTAGGGAAAAATATATTATATTTATAATTTTTATATATTTTATATTAATATAAATGACCATAAAAGCCCTTTTCTCTCTTATTTCTTTTATTTATTTACATATCAAACACTTAAACTTCATTTCTTACGTGTAAGTTGGCTTATCTATACATGAAAAGATGTCTCTATTTTTTAAAAGTTAAACCAGTGATACTTTGATTGGCTATTGTGATGAGGAAGATTTGTGTGATATAAAAGAGTTATATATGTAAATACATTAGAATTAGTTGGTATGTATGTAAATGCCCCTTTATGTTAATGCAAGGCTCTCTCTTGCTTGATTATAATACAAATGTTTGTCTGAAAATTTTGTTTATGCTTTCAATTGCTTATGAATACATGGAAAGTTGGATCATTATCAATTGAGAAGCCCTTACTTTTTAGATTAACTTATATTTCAATTGCTTGTGTGTACTTTTTGTGAATATTTGTGGTTGTTGTTGATTCATTTGAAATTTAAAGGAATCTAAGTGGTTTGGAAAGCCCCTGTTAGTTATTTTCTGTTGAATAAACAAAACTTCAATATCATATGCAACCCACGTTGGCAGGTGTCTGATGGTTTTTGGCATTGTTTTTTGTTGAGGTTTTTTGACTTTTGGTATTGTTTCGTTGTGATTTTAGATTTTTTGGTGTTGTTTTTTTCACACTAGTGTTGTTCATTTCTTTCTCTACTAATTATTTGATTCATGTTGGTTATTGTTTGTTGGACATTGGTTGTTGGTTGTTGGCACATGAATTGTCATAACCCATAAGGTTTCATTGTTGTTTCTATTGTTCTTGGGCATTTAGTTCTGTTATTTGTTTTATATTGGCGATGTTTAGATTTTTTTACTTTATATAATTTAGTAATATGACTATAACCAAATTTGAGATTACATTAGTTTTCTGTTTCAATTTTCATTATTTCTTTTTGTAGTTATTGGATTTTCTTGTTATGTCAGATTTACTGATTTGTTCAAATATCTCTTGTTTTTTTCTCTATCTGTGGGGTATTTTTAGTTGATCAATGATGTTTTCTAGTTTTTAAAATAAAATTCAATCATACATAAAAATATTTAATGCAAAATATTTATAATATTTCAAAAGATTTTTAATGTATTTTCATCAGATAAGTTCTGAGCTCATTTTCATTTCATTTTCTTGATATTTTTATTTTTTCTTTTGTGCCTTTTTTTGCTATTGTTGTGTTTTGATTTTGCTTAAAATTTTATTTTTCTTAGCTCTATTTTCCCTCGGAATTAAGTGGTGAGGTTCACATGCATATTACTCCATAACTAATTCTTATGTTATTGAACCAAATTAATCACTTCAAGTATGCTCAATTTTATATATGCATACATAATGCCTTTCTCACATGTTCTTCATTTTTTTTTATATAATTTGCAGGTATATTAAAGTTAAGTAAAAATGGAATTTGGAGAAACAAAGATTGGGATTTGGAATATATAAATAAAATGCTCAATATATTTTTTTTTATAAATGTGTAATGTAGTTGTAAATTTCATTTTATTAGTTATTTGTTTATAATAATGATTTGTAGATATTGGAGCTTCAAATTTATCTTAAATTTATTACTATAATTTGTAGTGATATAGTTGATGGGATATATTTGTTTATAGAAGGATGTAATAATTTTTTTTATTTTTTAATGATTAATTAAATTTATTTTTTAAAAAATTTTTTTAGCTCATTTCAAACATGAGCAATTCTAACAATTCGAACGATTCAAACAATATGAACAATTCAGAATAAATTCAGGCAAATTGAACTAAACATGAACATACATTTTCATGAACAATTTCAAAAACGAGCCCACAAACCAGGGAGTCGCAACGATAGCCGTTGGAGAAGGCAGCTGATGATCTAATATGACGTGCAAAAGAGAAATAGAAGCCATGATTGGAGCTTAATGAAGAGGTATGGACGGGATCCTGGTAATCTTGTTGAAAAGGCATTGCGAATGAAGCTTGCCTCACAAACTCATACCCTCTTCCTGCCACTTCTGCTCCGACCATAAAACCTCAAGGAAGACGAAGCAAAGAAGGTAATCCTTGTCTTCCCTCCACCCCATTTCGTGCAGACAGAGATAGAACTTAATTTCTCGTATAATTTGAATGGCATCACTTCCATCCAGATTTTTATAGCATTACTCATCACATGATTATAGTTTTACTTTCAAATTAAGTTCTAAAAAAAAAATAAAGTTAAATATTAATAACACAATTGTAAATTAAAGTCCAAATAAAAGTATACCTATACTTGAGGAAAACATACTGCATCCAGATGATCTACACTAGATTAGGTGCAGATGGTGTTATTATAAGTGTTGTTGGTGGTATTGTAGTGTTATTTTGGTAAAATAATATCACAATACTATTAATAACACATAAATACCATCATCTGCACATAAAACTATATCAGGACTCCTGATGTAATACTTTCTCATATTTGAATGCCTTAACCTAATGTATCCATGCAAGACAAGCTATAAATAAAGGTACATGCGAGCAAGAGTTTTTAACGTTAAGCCTAGTTTAGCTTGATTCGCTAATTGAAGAATCAAATAAAATTAAGCTTAAAATTGTTGCTTATTCCTTATATTATTGTCATAGTGAATCATGGTCAGATATTTATGTATTAGTAGTAGAGTCTGTTGATATATTTATTCATAAGAAAATTGAAAACCTTGAATTGGTTATTCACACCATGAGCCTAGAGCAAAGTTATAGTATTTTGATGATCACTAATATGATTTGATTGAGTTGCTAGAGCAAAGTCATATTATGCCAATAAAATTATTGATGATTTCCAAAATGCTTGCCACACATATAGGAGAATATTTGGGCACTATAAACCCCATTGACGACAACACAAATCTCAAATCTGCTTGAATATTACACTTATACAGAAGCACTTGATTATTTGCATTACCCTTTGTCCATAAAGCCAAACTAGTGAAGTAGGACGGCCCTACTTATTGATTTAAGATATATATATATATATATATATATATA